TTTGTAAATATGTATTTACTTTTTACATTGTATTTGTAATTTAATAAACAATGTAAGTTTGTACAATTTGTAATTCGTCACAAAATGATTGCACTCTTTTTTCCTTGCCAAGTTTTTATCCCAATTGGGTTTTTCTTGGTAAGGTTTTTAATGAGACAATCATGAATTACAAATTTAAAAATTAATAAAGAAATAATTTTTTTATATAGTTCGTGGTTCATTTCAAATTTAATATATATATAAATATAATATATTTATAAATTGTAATACTAATATATATATAAATAACTTAATATTAAAAAAAAGTTTAAAAAATTCGGGCAATTCGGGCGGACTCGGGCCGCCGAATACAAGCCCGCGGCCCGTTCAAAGTGAAATTCGGGCTCGGGCGGGCAGCCCCAAAATCTCGGGCGGGTTGGGTTCGGGCTCGGGCAAATCCTCGGGCTTTTCGGGCGGTCGCGGGCGGCCCGTCCAAAGTTTCAGCACGAATACAAGCCCGCGGCCCGTTCAAAGTGAAATTCGGGCTCGGGCGGGCAGCCCCAAAATCTCGGGCGGGTTGGGTTCGGGCTCGGGCAAATCCTCGGGCTTTTCGGGCGGTCGCGGGCGGCCCGTCCAAAGTTTCAGCACTAATTATGAATCTGACAGCTTCTAAGTATATTCAACAAGTCGTTTCTATTGGTCAGATAGGCCAGAATACCTTCAATCTGTCATTCACCAATGGCATAACGAATTAATGGAAAAAAGAAAGAATAATTGGGGCATTAGGGTCTCGTTCATTTCATCGATTCGAGTTTTTAATTTTAAATTTTTATAATTAAAAATTAAAAACTTTCAGAAAATATCACATTTAATTTTTTTTTGTTACAGTTAAAAACTCTCAAAATTTATCATATCTCAACTCAAATTAAAAACTCGAATCCACAAAACGAACGAGATCTAGATAGACCAACCAGCATTAGAAAGCTCCGCTTCATTCCTACTTGGCGAGGTTACGACATACACTCACTCCGGAAGATAATTTTGTGGAACTAATTTGGTTGGAGGAAGATTCTTTAAAACGAGGGAAAAAAAAAAGAAGAAAAATATTAATATTAAATGAAATTCCCACACCAATTTTATCCCATGCCTGCTATTGATTCCATTATGAACGTGTAATTAAAACGCGATCCTCTAAATTAAGAAAAACATTCATGTGTCGCAGATGCAATTCCAAACAATCATTCAATCTCATCTCTCCGTAATCCATGATCAATTAATGTCACCC